TGTTCTGATTTCTTTGTTTGAGATCAGCGATGCAACGCGGAACTGCGGTGGACTTCAGAGAAGTGACTCATTTAGAGGGGTAAACGGAGACCTACAGTCCACTGGTGTTATTTGCTCGGGCATTGTCCCTATAACTGAGTAGCTTGTAAGTCTTCACTTGTCCAAATTGGACATGTCTCTTCTAGCTAGTTAGCGACTATTACGATCGCTGAGTGAGATAGTACAGCAGACTGTAGATATATGCGGGGACTTAGGCCAGCGAGGTCTGCAGCTGTCTTTTCGGCTGACGACCACCTGTCCGTCTAACGATGTCTCTAAGAAGCTTAGCGTTTTGAACATTCGACTGACGATACACGGGTGCAGAGAGAAAGTGAACTGAGATCTCTTCGAGCAAAAAAAAAAACACGTTTGAACGTCGAAGTTTTTCGTTTCTGAAAAGCGAACCCTGGCACACAAGCCACGTCCTCCTAGTTATTGTTCTCCGATTGGACTTCGAATTTCCGAAGCAATGGGCAGCGGAACAATGCAAAAATAATTTTACCGTCATAGCACGTGTTTCACGTACAAAAGGATACGAACCAAATCGAAAAAGCCAATATAGTGCTACGCTATGATATGAAATATTCATTTCTTTTCTAACAAAAACTCTAACAGTTGTGGTTATCTAGAGCTATAGATAAAAGCCAGACACGAATTCTCATCCGCCATGGCCTAATTGCATATATGAACTAAACCGAAAGTAAATAGACTAAATTAAAGGTTGAACATTCGTTGCTTCGAAATGTCTTTGAACCGTTTTTAACAGTTTTAGTTCACTGCAACTCAGTATTAGTCCACAGCCACTAACTTGTACACAAACATAGTTCTGCAATGTATAGTTTAAGCAAATAGTAATAATTGTTTTCATAGAACGAGCTCTTTCCTCTACCTATACGAGATACGTATCTCAGACAAGATTGTAGGGAACCGGTTCCTTCATAGCAAATGTTCTATAATTGAGATCGACTTTCACGTGTTTGCGCAAATATGTAGACATAATACTGCGACGCGTAATTGACGGAAGGCGGCACTTTTAAATGATCTCTACAAGTTAAGGCTTTTCAAACGGACTTTTAGAAGCGCACACATATACATATATATATATATATATATATATTTTTTTTTTTTTTTTACTACGGCATGACTCATGATCTTCAAACCCTTTACGAATTCTGGAGTGACAACAGGTTGCCCCCGTACCCATGTTGAGGCTAATACACGCAACCTGCGGTGATGCGTAGCCATGCACATTTTAAACACCCAAGTAGATTACACTTAAAGCTGTATACCAACACAGTGTTTTCGGACATGGAACAGAATGTAGTCTTTGAAGGCCAAATATTCACCACTAAACTCACAGAACGTAACCCCTTCAATCCAGCCGACCTTACGAATAGTTTTCAGTATTGTGGGACACATGCCATTGAAAGGGTCCTCACCATTATATAAGTTGTATCGTCGTAAGCTTTGCCTATTTCTTCACTTTTGCTGCGCCACTGCACAAGGAACTCATCTAAGAAACGCATGTAGCAGAACGCATATGGATTTCTAAGAAGACAAAAGACTATTGTCTTTTTCCCCCGTTGATAGTGTTTCCATTTTGATGCCATATAACGGCCAAGTGTAGGCTCAGCTAGGCCGTTCGGCCAGTGGACGCCGTTCAATGTGTGGGGCTCTGTTTTAAGGCGTTTGTGGTAGCGGGCTGACCATAGAGTTGCCCGCCGCCCTATTGTAGCTCTTGGACCTTTAAGTTTTCAATCGATCAGCGCCACTTGATTTGGCGGGACTCACTGTTCTGCTTATAGCAGCAACGTTTATATAGCATCATATTCATACGTTAGCCCTACAACTACAAATAATCCAGATAAGTTGAATCTTCCTGGTGGTACACAATTGCTCGACGGATAAGATCGTTGCGTAAATTGTAGCACATGGTAGATGTATCTACTTAGGGCTTTAATATACACTTGATATAGGCAAAGGTGTACACTGATAAATAATCAACGTTAGAACGCTGAAGATCAAAGCTGCACGTTTGTCATCATTGTTTATTATTAGTGTATACTGATGTCTGCGGTTATTTCGAAATCAATATTAAAAGCACTCTGAACGATGATATATACACAAGAATTTAAGTCTATCAATGATACTGAGACCAGAGTAAGATAATAGTGATTTAAAATTCAAGGAACTCTAATATCGGGTGCAGTCTGCATCGCGCATTAGAGCTTTAACCTGTTATGAAATTAATGCATTATAATTATCAATGAAAGATTTGGTCTCAAAAAGTCTTTCTAAATATATATGCTATATGACAAATAAATATAAGGATATTTATTTTAGAGTAAAAATAGATGGCAAGTTTTGCTTTTTTTCGGGAAACCCCTGTCGGTCACGGTGGGCATTTGCTGATAGATTGACATGTTAATAATGATTTTATATTCCCTCTAAAAGATTCTCACAGCACAGATATGGTTGCTGTTACAAATGCGTTTTTGTCCATTATGGCGAGTACTCGTATATACATTTCATAGTATCAGGCCCGGTTACTAGCCGGGAGAACGTTGCGTTGAAAAAAAGTGTCTTCTCCAATGTTGCATCTACCACATTGTATAAAAAGTTTTCTATTGGATTATATTGTGACAGATAGTATTAAGCAATGCAAACATAACATTCGTAGAAAGATGCTGTCTTAGTACTCCTCTGCTATAGGTCGAAGCGTGAACGATGTACTGTTTCTGATAATCAGAAAGGTGGTCTTCATTATTTCATTTGAATTAGTTCGAATATACCAGACAGCGCCGTCAAACACTTTCAGCCAAGAAATTATGTGGCGCGTGGAATAGTGGGTAACGTGGTGGTCTGAGTTCGAATGCGGCCGTAGGCACATATTGTTTCAACAGATTATGTCCTAATCTACAGAACAGCAGCAATCCAGCGTGACGTCACCATTCTCTTTACAGGCAACACTAGATATCAGTTGTTCATTGGTTCGTTAAAATTAATCGAAAAAGATCACATTATCATATTGAGAAACAGATACTTTAATTTTGGGCAAAAAAAAATGATGCTCAGGTCCGCTTTCAATGCATCGCTGCCTTAATAGAGAATTCCTTTTCGTAGCCATCTCCCGCAGCTGTGTTTGATCGTTGTTATCAAGTGCATTATCTTCATCGAAACGACCATCATCATATTCATTAGTTCATACGAATTCCACAATAACCGCAACAAGCATCTGAGATGTATAATCCACATTAGAACCTCTGTTCAATGCGCGTGGTCATTAATTTGCTTTTTGTTTATTTACTTGTGTGTCATTCCCGCATATTTCGTCTTGTTTTTTTATATAGCCAGTTACTTTTTACTAGCATGCCTGCGCTATTTGCACACTTTGACCTATACGTTTAAAAGTCTGCGTGGGTAGGCAATTGTGTTTCTCTGTGCTTCGATCTGCATTCAGGAAGTATGAAATTATAGTTAAGTTGCGATGAGCGCAATTGGGCGGTGCACATAATTGGTCCCACGCGACCGCTAGGAATAATGACACCTAGTACAACATAGAATGACTGGAAGATTAATTGATTTATGTAAACATAGGAAGAGTACCAACTGGCTGGCATGAGCTGGGTGATGCGTGTTTTCTGGCGGTGTTAGACAAGTACCTATTAAACCTAAATGTAATAACTTTATATTAGCACGTAATAGTCAGCCATCGTAACAGAAGCGACACTTTTTGGAAAAGCCCCTTTTCTGTAGAAGAAAGAAAAAGCATGTAGAGGCTTTCGTTATTTTCTATAGCTGTTAACACAGGGGCAATCACAGTGACCATGTAAGCACGAAATAGTGGGGTCTCTTATCACACACTATATTCAACGTGTTGCCGTCACGGTCTGTACCCGAGAAATTACTTAACGCGTTAAAGAAATAACTATATCCATCGAAACCACCTAGTGTTATCACCATACGTGGCAAGCATGTGATCTAGAGTTTAAAAACCGGCTTGCTTTACAGCCAATAAGCATTAGTGTCTACTGATTAAATATATTTTCACGAATTCATCGAGGTACATTCTCATATATATATGTATATATATATATATACACGATTATATGTTCGAAAAAAAAATTGAAATTAAAAATAACGGGTAAGACTAGTGTTGAGAACACGGCATAGAGCTATCCATTGGGGCCCAACAAGAAGATGAACTAGTTGTATAGAAATCAAACGTTTAGTCGAATCAACTAACCATAGGCATTACTGGATAATAAATAAGGACACAAATCAACGTAATGCACCATTACAATCACGCTTTTTTTTTGAGGGTTTCTGGAAGTGAGTCAATTTTGCTAACTTTTTATTATTATTTACAATAATCTCTTCCGCTTTTATAGATATGCTATCAAGTGACACGTTGTTTTTTCTTGTAAGTAATATTCGACTGGTAGAAGCAAACTGCGTGAGAAACAGCTGTACGACTGCTTTAACAAGCCACCTAACGTTTCGGTACTGATAAGAATAATCTATCTTGAAATTGTAAAAATCAAAAGTACCGCATGGCTTTACATACCAGCACCGAATTACGACAGTTAGTCTTTTTGACTACATTTACAACGATTTGTTACGATCGCTACCTTTTTCATTAAACCGACAGTAAGTTGGAAATATAGAATGCAACTCATACGAAGACAGGACCGACTAGAAAACTTGGTTGAAAATATTGGGAACAGGAAGTTAATTTCAGAAATTGAGGAACAATATTCTCAATATTTAGTTTCCCATTTAAAGATTTCTAAAATGATACTTGGCATTGTCCTTTCCGTACAAGTTTTAAGGAATCTTTGGCCAGGCCTAAGACCTCATGCAAGGGGTTCCGGTTCCTGACAGTTCACACTAACGTGCCAGTAAAGGAATATACTTTGTGCTGTTCATTCAATTCTATTTCCCACTGCTTTCGTTTTCAGGTGAGTGGTGCGAATCCAGAAACGGCGGTCATCAGTTAAAGGTTCGGTGCGATGTACCATTGTGTGGACATAACAGCGCCACCGCTCGGCAACCCACGCAAACTAGTCGATTATCTAATGTTGGCACCCCTCACCAGGTGGCACTACAATTAACGTTTTGAGAGTTTTCTGCGTTTCAAACTTATCAGGCACAAATAAAAAACCAAATAGTTCGGGTTTAGATTACACGAAAAAATGAAGATAAGAAAAAAAATTCTTATTTAAATAGAAAAGATCAGGGCACGTAATTTCAAATTCTAGTCTTAATGACAAGTTATTCGTGACGTTAACTAACGTGCTCACGTTACAAATAAAACCTCTTGTTAATCGATTTGTACTACTTTGTAAAATATGATTCGCCGTGTAGAAAAGCTTTCATCATGGCCTCAATGCTATCACTTGAAAAATTCGATAGCGATCTTCCTATTAGCAGGGACGACGTATTTTCAACCAGTTTACAGTATTACAATGTATTATGTTACTACACGCTAAATTAAATGATTGAATGGTTAAATCTCTATCTGAAAAGGCCAGAGATCGCTAGTCTGAGCCCTGACTTTTCAGACATGTATAACGGAACGATAGACGTGATTAAACCACCACATGAGGCGTCTGCACGGTTTTGGTTGAAGTACTAACTCAGTAATTAACTTTGTATTGTGTTGAAGGTTCTCAAAGTACTGCAACACGCTTTATTGCATAATAGGGCCTTTGAAGCTATAAGGCTTGTCTGATAATGCCATGGCATTCGCTGAAGTAATCGCACTCCACTCCACGATGTCTGGTCAGACCTGTCGACGCTAAAAACAATGTATCATAATCCGGATTTCTTAGCCCGCTATCACGAAAATATTCCTCTCCATACTCACTGGCGCCTTTCAGAAATGCTGTCAAGCAATAATACAGAACATCTAGTCTTCTCCCAAATGAAGCAGTAAAAGCTATCCTCTGTTGCTGACTGTCACTCCATGAGCCTTCTGCAACATATTACTAAAGAAAAGGATCTACCAGTTTAATTGCCTTAATCAAAAAATCTCAAATTCGATTTAACACTGAATGATTACACTGAAATATAGAATATCTAATATGTGAGGATGTCAAAATTATCATTCCAAGCACCTGATATGCGTACTTTTTGTAGAACCGAGATTAACGTATGACAAAACTATGTGTCTCGGACCCTAATCGATCACTAGCTTTTAGTAATACAAACATGAGGTACAGATCGAAGGTAGGCTTACCGCCCAATAAAATTTCCGCGTCCAATTAAGTTTTGACGTTTGTGACAACCAAGCTTCTAGTTTCCTAAGCATATAAACAGACGCTGTCTAAATTGTAAGACTGGCTTTTCTTCCTAATTGTAAGCCTATTTTCCGTGAAATTGCAGAATCATATGCGGCCCTTACTTATAATTTGTTTTACTGACAGTGGTCGTCAATCCATCGCTCATAAAAAATGTAGCTAGACTTTCCGTGGGATCGTTATAATCGAATTAATTATGGTTCATTTGCCATCCTTTCTTGGTGGTTATAAATATTGCGGTATTTGGAAGAGCTCGATTGCCTTGCAAGTCATATTTCTGGATGCATACATTATGGTAGCATTCACCTTTCTACCTTTCAGAACCTTTCGGGCTTAATATAATATGTTTGAAAAATTCTACGCATTACAAAATTCCAATAAAGCATATTTTATTGAAGAACAATAAAGTAATAAGGACTTACCTCATTTGATTCTTAACATGCCATTGTATCTTCTTTGGTTCGCTCGTAAGGCAGTACACAGGGTTTTAGATTGCGTATTAGTATCTTTTGACGCATTGACAACTAATGCACCGCTTACCATAGCCACTTATATTATAGTAAATATTTTGAGTTTTCTGGCCGGTGCTGCCGCTTTTAACAACATGAAGCGATCCGTGAGTTTTCGCGTGGCGTATATTCGTAAGCTTAGTAGGCAAGCATATCTACGCCATCATCGGGACATGGATATTATGCTAACGGGCTTGAGAAGGTTAGGCTGCTGTTCAGATGAAGGCACCATAGCTACAAATATGTGACTGTTAACCTATTAAACAACAGTTGCCTTAAAATAACTTACATATTGTTTTTATATTTACACTTTAAGTTTAGTAAAAGGTACGTCCCACTGCATTCAGCCGTCTTCGCTTCAACCGTCTTCCGGTTATAACCCTCGTTGTTTACTTACGTAGCACTTCTGCATGACTTACAATACGGAGATAAACTAAAGTATTATATTCAACCAAATTTTTAAATAGCTATGGTAAAGTTAGCATAAAGTGCATTTTTTTTAAATAAAATATACAAAAAACTATATCTAACATACAGTTGCCGTCGTAAAATGACATCTTACAATAGTACTAATTAGAGCCATTATCTGTTGCGGATTCGCCTCGATACCGAACAATAACCTGCTCGAACTTTTTACAATGAAAGTCTATAGGAGAATATCGTGCTGTTCTTAATAACAAAAAAAGCTGTGGCCAGGCCACGCCAGCTGCGAATCAAAAGATACTCGATCTTGTAATTTGGTCATGAATATAGAGTCTGCTGCTGCGAATTTAACAGGTTTATTCACTTTGGCACCACAGACAGCTTTTGGGTCACAGATCTCGCGCCAGTCACATGAAATTAGTAATGATTTCCCGAGGTGTAGTCTATAAACATTCACTAAGTTCTCATATAGAACAGCTTTCGTCTCGTTAGAGATAATAGTTGATAGCCTAGCAGGTAACGCATTTGCCTTGACACGTTGTGATCATGGCTCGAATCCGTGCACTTTGTTTCGTCCCAAGACCTAACCGTCTGATGGTATACCTAACGGCGATGCGGGACGTAAAACTCGAAACACAGAGATGGTTCGATGATACAAAACACAGTAGACAAAGTTCTTTTTTTACCTTTTTAATGAAATACAGCATCCTTTATTAAATAACCCCATTGTTTCAATTCCGTCACTATTAGTCGCCAATCCAGACTCATACAAGTAGTGGAACTGTGATTACTGAAAATTGAAGGCACGGCTTTACGGTACATGACTACCAGCATATTATGAACATCGAATCGTATCTCCTATTAGATGTTCGGTGAAAACTACTATCTGCTTTTAATGGCATAATTCTACCATCACCCCTTTTGACTTCCCTAGGCTAACTACGAAGGAATTGTTTTACTTGTGTATTGTTCAATAGTCTCGACATGATGGTTTTAGATTTGGTAACAGAATAGAAGACGAATATAGATTATTGTACCCCAACACGTACAACTCGTTTTACCTGAACTGTGATTAGCAACACATATTGCCCCCGCCATCTTTTCATATTATTCAAACTACACATTGTTACAATAAAGTAGCAAAACCCCAACAGAGCACCTGGCGCGTGCTATGCACAGTAAAAGATAACCTCATATTGTTTCCACAAGTACTTTACGCTTTGGTTCTGCAATTTGCCATTCTTCGATCAGCAAACAAATAATAATCGATTGTTTCCAAACTTACGCTTCGGGGTGGGTAAATCCGGTTCATCACTTTTGTTCCGTTGGTAGCGAAAATGACGAAGGGAAAATGGCGAAAAAAAGAAGCGAAAGAAAGGACGAGACTAATTAATCGAACAACAGGTGAGCTACGCGCAGAAATATTCATAGATGTAGATACATATTATCCCCCCTCCTTTGTGTAACCCCATTCTGCCCTCTTGTGCTATACGTAGTCACACATACACAAAATATTGGCAATATGAACTCTCATTAGATATCTGTAAAACGTACACCGCACGTGAATCTTACAAACGGACGGGTGCCTGTATAGACAATATATCGTAATAAAAATAATAATCGTAATTTACAAACGTACAATGATACGCCAAAGTTGTTTTTACTATTATTACGGGTTGTGCTAATTTAGCATTAACAACAAGGCTTAAGAAAAAATATGTTTTTAAGAGATGGAGGCACCGCTTGACGATCGGATGCAACACCCAACGGATAAATGGGTTGTGAGAGTCGCTATGAAATCACCGCTATCCCTTTAACCTTAAATAACAACAGCGGCAACAAAAACAACAGTCTGATTATAATCGTTGTCAAGATCAGGTTCACCATGTTCAAGATGATTACGTTGCTGTTGCCGCTGCTGCACCTGCTGACCCCCCCCCCCTCCTCGAAGCCGTTTTTGCGTTCGATGTTGAAGGACGATTCGTCGATGTTGAATGGCGATGGCCCCGTGCTCTTCTGCGATATTCCGATACATTTTTGTGTCATCCCATCGTCGTCCTGTGCCTACCGCATAGTTGACGATTTAGCCTCTTTAGTGCCCTTCTACTATATCTACTATTATGTGTATATATAATAATAGTAATTATTGTTCTGGCTTGTGAATCCACAGTGAGAATGGGGGTGGCTTCAAGTGTGGTCGCCATAAAAGCAGCATGAGCAAGCGGGCGAACAATCCAGCGAATCTTTTCGAAATATAATTAATGAGAAAGCATTATGAAAGGCCAAAAGACGGTTTTGTGGTGTCGACGTTGACGTTTTTGTTGCCGTTAACGTCAAGCTGTTGTGCATATGATCCACGTAGACGGCATGTATTATGACTTAGGGTACATGGTATCGGAAAAAGTCTAGCAAGGATGTTACATCGAGATGTTAATACAGACTGAATACTATACATCCGTAGTCGAGTCCAGCTTCATGACAGCTGTAGGGGGTTGACTAATCCAGCCCTAACTCAGATCGAGTAGGTTCATTTTCATGAATAACAAGATATATTATAAATTTAGAGTTATATATTATAGTTGAGGTATTTGTATGCGATTGTGCGAATACACATCGACAGCTTACATGTTTACGTGTGTCATAGGTAGAAGTGCATACTCTTTAGGAGTTTATGAGTGCTACGACGAAGCGCTGTTGTAGAAACAAGAACAACAAGCGATTGATATTTCACATGGCCATATATCAATGACCGAAAAAAATCTGAGTCTGTTTAATAAAATAAATTGCTTACTGAAGTTTAGCGAGTCACTGCGAACGAATCACAGATGTATAATACCATATCATCTGTGTAATATACAGATATATATATATACGTACTTTGTAACTTGTCTATTTGTTTAGGTATCAGGCCTATGTTGTATATATGTTATGTATTAATTCGACATGTAGACCGGCTTTCAAATAGAAGCTGGGTAAAGGAGGCAAACGGGATGCATTTCCGGATTGGCTAATTTATCCAGTCCTGAACTGCATCAAGTATTTAGCTCGATAATGAGGCCAAATAGTCATATCAAAATTGCAATAATTGTTTTTGTTTGCGTATGCGAATATAAAGATTTAGAGGCTAAATTAGCGGAAAGAGGCTAGCGGTATAGTAGCTGGCGCAAATTTTCGAAAGT